GGGGTGGGGGGGGGGAATGTTTGCAATGTCAGGTTAATGTAAACAGATCAAAGACTTTGTTTCTGAAGATTGCATATCAGACAGAAAAGTTACTGGAGCCCTGATATTTCCACATTATAAATACAGTAGCTCTGAGTGAAAACATAATGGAAATGCCAACTCTGTGGACCTTTGAAATGTTAAATACTCGTGTCCCACTGCGCAGCGGGGATGGGGACTGGCTGTGCTCGCCTTTCTACTGAAGAAGGAAAAAGAAAAAAACATCAATGGGTGCTCGAAAGCCTAGTTTTCAACCGTGTTTTTCCATTCTATGCCATTATAAAAACAACTATAGCAAACTTTAGCAGTATTTTATTTTACGTATTTATTTTTTTTAATATGTTTTATTGAGAGGAAGGGAGAGGGAGAGAGAGAGACACATCCATGATGAGAGAGAAACTTCAATCGGCTGCCTCCTGCACGCCCCCGGTTGGGGATGGAGCCCATAACAGGGCACGTGCCCTGACTTGGAATCAAACCCTGACCTCCTGGTACATGGACAGCTCTCAGCCTACTGAGCCACACCGGCCAGACTTTAGCTGTATTTCAAAAAATTATCTTAGCCTAATACAAATTTAATCGTTTCAAATTACTCGTCAGAGTGTGATGCAAATTTAAAATAGCATATTAAAATTATATTTTAAAACTAGGAATAGCAGTTGCATACCTGGTGTTTCATTAAATCACTTAAAAGACCTTTCATTTTATTCCCCATTATATTTATATGCATAAAGTACTTTGAATAGTCAGGATTAAACCCTTTCTTTTAATTTGTAATTTTTGCCAGAATCTTTTCATATGTAAATGGAGGACTTCTTGGCTTGCTGTAAAAAATAGAATTAAGTATTTAATTAGATTTCATTGCTTTTTCAAGCCCAGTTTCCAACATGGAGAAAACTGCTGGCTCAGAGTTATCTGATGGGTTGGCGGTAACTCACCGCATCTTCTCTGTGGCTTGAGGGTGACGCCATCTCTTGCACCTGCATCAGGGCTGCAGGACCACCCAGAGTCGGCCACACTGCAAAGCTAAGGTCCTCCTGCATCCAAGCCGCCCGCCCCCAGGGGTAGTTTGGGGAGTGCCCAAAGCCACCCGAGGCTGGACAGCACACTGGGACGCAGGACCCCTAAGCTGTTGGACTCGGGGGTGGTTTACAACAGGGAAAGGCCCAGTGAAATCACCACGGGAAAGATGGGCAGGTGGGGGGGGTGGGCGTGGCGGGTCCAGGAGGCCGCTGGCTCTCAGAACTGACCTGGGACAACATGCACAGACCGTGACCAACCTGGAGGCTTGCTGGGCTTTGTGTCCAGGTTTCTACTGGGCGCCGTGACATGGGAGGGTCCATAGATCGTCCAGTGGTTGATACCCGTTTCCAGACCAGCTGATATCCTGGTGGAGGTCCCACCCAGGTCCCCTGGCTGGACTTCCTGGGTGGCCAGCCCTGCCCTCGGCCTGTTGGGTGTGGCCAGCCCCCAGGTGAAACACAGACAGTCCTGTCAGGGGTGCCATTCATGACCGTCTAGAACCCACGGCCAACGACAGGCCTGCCGTTGGGCAAGGTCAGATGATTTAATGCACAGATGCCTTTACCGTAACATCCCTCTCCATGCCTAGAAAGCCCTAAGCAGAATAAGAAGGGACATATAAGATCCATGTAAAATCTTGTCCTAAATAAATTTTCTAAGCATCACCCAGTGTTTATATAACATCCTCCATATTGAATTAAATTCAGAACTTCCGCAGAGGGCATTGTTTTCAAACAAGTTTACTTTATTCCTGGAAGGCATGTTTCCAGAAAGCTCTATAATAAAAAGGTGCTTTTCCCGAGAATGGAGGTCTGCACAGGGATCGGCGTGGGCAGCGGGGACACAGGGCCCTCGCAGGACAGGCGCCTGGCTGGTCGCCCGTCAGCTTCAGTGGCACGACCTTTATCAGCCGAGGGCTCGGGTCCGCAGGCTGTGGTGGGACACAGGGCAGCGGTACTGAGCGGCCACCTCACAGGCCCAGCCCCTCGCGCCCCAGGATGGTCTTAGGGAAAAAATAGAAGCTCTGAACAGCCTCTGGGGGTTTTATTAAAAACGGCAACTCAGCAATTGAGATTCAAAATTCTAAATCTGAAAGCATCAACCTCCCCAGAATATATGAAGCCAGTTTGTCTGGACATGCTTAAAAGAGTAGTGTCTTCATTTGCATAAGGATCTATTGTGTAAAGTTAGTATATTTCAAACCCATCTGGGAAAATAGACCCAAAGGGTGATAACCTTGAAATAAATAAGAGAGTATGTCTGACAGTGACGAGAAGGTTGAGACTGCATTAATTTTGCCAGTAACTTATAATTATACCGAAGTCTCCGTTTTTAAGGAAAGTGGGTTATAATTGTTACAGTAGTGTCTAAAAGGCTGTGGTTTATTAATGCGCTAAATGTAATTTGATAATTGCAGATGCCTCTACACTTACAAATGGTAGCTCAAAAACTTAAAGTATTTTGTTGGCCTGATTGATCCTTTTCCACTGAAGTATTTATGTCAACATTCTCTTGGGGTCTTTTTACAAATTTAAACGCTGTCACCTGATACCTCACTTTACATGCGTTAGCGCCTGTGGCGGGAGCCAGGGACAGAGGGAATGACAGGACACCTGGCAGCTTCTTTTAAAATGACAGGCTTTGTCAGCAAGAAACCCCTGGATTGCATAATAACATGAGAAGTCCAACCGGCCAGAGTATATGCTGGCCCTGCGGTGTGGCTCGGGGGTGAGCCTTGTCCACGCACCAGAGGTCGCTGGTTCGATGGCCCGGGTCAGGGGTCAGAGGTCAGGGCACATGCCCTGGTTTCAGGCTCCATCCCCAGCCGGGGGCGTGCAGGAGGCAGCTGCTCCCCGTGCCCCGTTCCCATCCGTGTTTCTCTCTCCTCCATGTTTCTCTCACTGAAATAAACCATAAATTATGATGTGCATATTGTCAAGGTTAAGGTTTACCAAGCTGATTGATAAAGACAGGAAACCCCTCCCCCAAGGGGTCAGAGGCGTGAGTTTTAGAAGGAAGAGGCCGGTTCTCCTGGAGGCCCCGTGGGAGGCTAGCACTTGGGCTGCGCAGGCGGGAGAGGAGCGGGACCTGTCCCGGGCCACCCACCGGCCTGCGTGGCTGCAGGGGCTCCGTGGCCCCGTGTCGCAGGTGGTGAAGTACTTTCTAGGTTGTCAAGGAAAGTTTATCCGACTCCAAACCCCACTTATAACCGCACCGTGAAACTCGCCGAGTGTGTCCGCAGCCCCTGCTGCTGATGGATTTACCCCAGAGCCCAGCCAGGCCACCCGCCTTGTGGTCCCACCTCCTCGGAGACCAGCTGCACCTGCACCTGCACTGTGACGCGGCCGCCGCTGTCCCTCATGACTTCTCATGGTCAGGGGTCTTTTCTTCCTGTTATTTTCATCTATTTTGGCCTCTTTGTTCCCCTTAAATGCTGCACCGCTGGTGGCAAGTCTTTGCAAGCCCCACACATGCTGGTGGCACACGCGTAGCACACCCGTTGGGTGTCCGTTCCATGAAGAAGTCTGCTGTCTCTGGTTCTGCCGTGTGATGCTGCCATGTGAGCGACAGATCGCGTCTCAGATGATCCTGCTAACGTGTGGCCGTTTCACCGTCTATAAACAAGAATAACTGCCATGGCGACTGCGGACAGCGTGGGAAGTGAACAGGAGCGCCTGACGGGTGGCGCTGCCTCTCCTGGCTGAGCTGGCGGGACCGGCCGGGCAGTGACGCCCGCACTCGCTTTATCTCCTTCCTCCAGGCGCAGATCTGCGAGGCGGCGATAGTGTATCTGTTTCAAAGCAAATAGGATGCTGCGGCCTCAGCCCACGAAATAGGCTTGAAATCTCGCTTAGACAGGACATGTCGGTTTCCTGCTTAAGCATCATCCCCTCCTCATCCCGCCTGGGACAGCCGGGGGCTGCCAGCTCCCCGCAGGAGACTGGACCCAGCGCGTCCCCCTTAATGCTGGGAGGACTGTGGCCGGAGGAGCCGGGAAGTTTGGCGGATGTGTTACCCGAACAGGCAGCTGAGAAGCACAGTCTTCTGAGGCTTTAGGGTTTAGGGGGATTGTTCTGACAACGTGGTTCCCGGGGACCCTGTGGGCTGAGGGCGCCAGGAGCCCCTGTGTCCCTTTAACGCTGACCATGTGTCTCCGTGGCCTCTGCCCCCCTCAGCTCCCTGTGGCTACAACATCTCAGCTCCCAACGGCACCATCTACTCACCCGGCTTCCCCGACGAGTACCCGGTGCTGCAGGACTGCCTGTGGCTGCTCACCGCGCCGCCCGGCCACGGCATCTACATCAACTTCACGCTGCTGCAGACCGAGGCCGTCAACGACTACATCGCCGTGTGGTACGGCCACCCCGGCCATGACCTCCCAGACACCCCTGTGACCCCCCTCCAGACACCCCTGAAACACCCCCCAGACACCCCTGTGACCTCCCAGACACCCCTGTGTCCTCCCAGACACCCCTGTGACCTCCCAGACACCCCTGTG